AAGAATGCCATTTCGTTATGAAAAGTAACAAACACTTGTCTATAAAATGGATTAACGCAAAGCTGGGTTGTTGAATAATCAAACAAACGGATGTCGGAATTGGAATTCTTTGAAAGACGAACTTGTGCACACATCAAGAATTTATCCATCAGATACGTATCTACACGATTGATATATAAACGGAGCCAAAAAGTATGCAATGTCATTACTCTTTATCCAAAAAGATAAACCTGAAAAAAACAAGTACCAAAGTGAAAAATTCAAAATGAACATTAGCTAAGAATGGGATTGTATTACACGTAATGATAATATTCGGTTTTAATCTAATAAAAAGTAAAAATAATAAATTAATATAAAATAGTCTAATAAGTAATATTAATCTAGCAAATAATAATCTAATAAGTGATAAAATAGTAATCTAATATTATATCTAATAAACTAGCAATATACATACATTTGTAAGATATATTGATTTAATCTTACACATATAAAATAATGATAGAACATTAAATTGCGGAATTGAAAAGCAACTTACTTTCAAAAAAAGATTACTTTTTTTCTTAACCTTTTCTAGATGTTTCACAAAATTTAAAACAATTTACAGAGACCTTCTGAATTCCAAAATATTTCCCGAAACCGTACACCCATTTCTCGGCCCATGGGAATATTTCTGGATATGCGATCACTGGCGGATCATCTTGTTTTCTAATGTCTGGGCCTTGATTTACGAAGCTCTAATCATTTGGGCCATTAACTGGCGGACATTGCGAGTTGCGAGTGCCAAGTGCCATTGGCAGTGGCACATGACATTGGCCATAAACTTGGGATAATCTTGGCTGGTGCAGCGGCATTTTCCCATTTTTTCCGCCCCCGGAAAAAGGGGGTCCAGCCCCCCGCTGCCACTGGCTGCCCATTAAAAAGGCATAAATTATACGCGACTGGGGGGGCCTCAGATCCCCCGATTCGTAGTAAATCAGAGCGTTTAATTAATACACAATGCAGGCGGTTGGTTAATAAATTACATTCGAAATGCATGCCAAAATTCAAATTTGTTTCGTCTCGACGGAACGTGTTGACTGGCGGATTCCACCATTCGTTTCCACTTCCCTCTTTAGACAGTGGATTAGGATTTTGCCGGACAGACTGTCAGATCCATTGTCACATCGCTCACTCATCTTGTGGGTGGGATCTCGGACTATCTTGTAGTTTAAAAATAATTGTACTGTGACGGAGGGCCAGAGAAATCGAGAGTGAAGGCGCCATCGCAATTAGAATTGGATCACTTGGAAGATGGACGGAACAAGAGTCGACCAGTCAGATACCCAGAACATTAAATAAAACAGATCAAAATTGTTTGAAATTTGAAGGTAGTTTCGATAAAGAACAAGACTTTGGAAACGAGAAATGAAAAACACTTGATAAGCCAATTTACGATTGAAAAACCTCAAAAAAAGGGTGTATTTTTGTCCGAAATCCTACCACCAATCTTTGGACCCAAAAAACCAAGGTATTTTGGCAATCATTTTGCGAAATAAAATCGGAATATGGAATGCCATACCTCGTTGAGCCCGTAATTACAATTCCAATCGATTGGCATTCAAGCCTAGAAACTTTAATTTTTGACCGATTTTTGCAAAAATAGACGAAATTTGAAAAATGTGAAATTTGGTCAAAAAATCAATTTCCCGGAATGTGATGGGGATCGGAAGCTTAGGTTGTTAGCTGCTCAAAGCAGTCGGTCTTTCAGCTGTGTGCCTTCTTTAGACCAAGTTACGATTGAAAAACCGCAAAAAATAATGGTATTTTTGACTGAAATCCTTCTCCCTATTTTTTGACCCAAACAAACTAGGTTTTTTGGCAATCATTTTGCGAAATAAAGTCGGAATATGGAATGTCATACCTCGTTGAGCTTGTAATTTAATTCCCAATCGATTGGCATTTAAATACAGAAACATTAATTTTTGACCGATTTTTGCAAAAATAGACGATGTTACCCCTTATAAAAAAAGTGAAATTGGGTCAAAAAATAAATTTCCCGGAATGTGATGGGGATCGGAAGCCTAGGTTGTTAGCTGCTCAAAACAGTTGGCCTTTCATCTGTGCGCCTCGTTTTGACCAAGATACGACTGAAAAACTGCAAAAAATAATGGTATTTTGGTCTGAAATCCTTCTACCTATTTTTTGGCCTAAAGAAACTAGGTTTTTTGCCAATAATTTTGCGAAATAAAGTCGGAATTGGGAATGTCATACCTCGTTGAGCTCGTAATTAAATTCCCAATCGATTGGCATTCAAGCCTAGAAACTTTAATTTTTGACCGATTTTCGCAAAAATACCCCTTATAAAAAATGTGAAATTTAGTCAAAAAATAAATTTCCCGGAATGTGATGCGGATCGGAAGCCTAGGTTGTTAGCTGCTCAAAACAGTTGGCCTTTCATCTGTGCGCCTCGTTTTGACCAAGATACGACTGAAAAACTGCAAAAATTAATGGTATTTTGGTCTGAAATCCTTCTACCTATTTTTTGGCCTAAAGAAACTAGGTTTTTTGCCAATAATTTTGCGAAATAAAGTCGGAATTGGGAATGTCATACCTCGTTGAGCTCGTAATTAAATTCCCAATCGATTGGCATTCAAGCCTAGAAACTTTAATTTTTGACCGATTTTCGCAAAAATACCCCTTATAAAAAATGTGAAATTTAGTCAAAAAATAAATTTCCCGGAATGTGATGCGGATCGGAAGCCTAGGTTGTTAGCTGCTCAAAACAGTTGGCCTTTCATCTGTGCGCCTCGTTTTGACCAAGATACGACTGAAAAACTGCAAAAAATAATGGTATTTTGGTCTGAAATCCTTCTACCTATTTTTTGGCCTAAATAAACTAGGTTTTTTGCCAATAATTTTGCGAAATAAAGTCGGAATTGGGAATGTCATACCTCGTTGAGCTCGTAATTAAATTCCCAATCGATTGGCATTCAAGCCTAGAAACTTTAATTTTTGACCGATTTTCGCAAAAATAGATGATGTTACCCCTTATAAAAAATGTGAAATTTAGTCAAAAAATAAATTTCCCGGAATGTGATGCGGATCGGAAGCCTAGGTTGTTAGCTGCTCAAAACAGTTAGTCTTTCAGCTGTGCGCCTTATTTAGACCAAGTTACGATTGAAAAACCGAAAAAAATAATGGTATTTTGGTCTGAAATCCTTCTACCTATTTTTTGACCCAAACAAACTAGGTTTTTGGCAACCATTTTGCGAAATAAGGTCGGAATAGGGAATGCCATGCCTCGTTGAGCTCGTAATTAAATTCCCAATCGATAGGTTGTAAGCTGCTCAAAACAGTCGGTCTTTTAGCTGTGCGCCTACTTTTGACCAAGAAAAAACCTCAAACAAATAATGGTATTTCGGTCTAAAATCCTTTTACCTATTTTTAGATCCAATCGATAGGTTGTAAGCTGCTCAAAACAGTCGGCCTTTCAGATGTGTGGTTCGTTTTAATCAAGTTACGAAATAAAATCCGCAAAAAAACTAACTATCAGTGTGCTAAATTCGGCATGCTCCTGGGCAACTCCCCCTTAGAAGGTATCTATAAGGCAAACAAATGTCGTGTTTGGCGATGGAAAACGCGTGCAATTAATCAAAGTGGAACCGACTGCACCCCATCCACCTCCTTGGCTCTTTAGCAGCCCCATCAGATCTCAGAAAATGGCATGGGCTAAGAGCAATTTGTGATTAGAACGGCCACATGCGACAAGCTCCGCGAGTTTGTGGGCCTTTCATCTGGCGACAAGTCGGTTCAGATACAGATACAGATATGTCGGATGTCGGGGATATAGAGAACAGAACTTGGGTATATAGATGTAGATGGAGAGATCTTGGGTCGACGGATAGATACACGTCGTTGGGTCATTATGGTCGGCTATATGCAGCATAATTTATTGGCATTTTTATTATAATATTATTTATGACTTGTGAGTTTTCAAATTTGTTTGTATGTGCTCCGCTTTCGCCGAACTTTTATTCTCCCACTACACTACACTCTATAGTACTATATCTTTCCGCACGACCATCTTTTAAGATCGCAAGATGACATCGCTCTCGAACTAATTGATGAGACATGTGGAGCCGAACGGAACAAGAATCTATAGCCAAATGTTAATATGTTTCTGATAATTCCGCAGCGGCAGTGAGAGATTTATTTAATTATTTTTATGTACGCGATTTTCGATTTAATGAGCAGTTTACTGGGGCAAAACTGAGTCAAATCGAATATTGAATGCGGCAAATGGCCAATTCCCATAAGACAACTATCCCGCCGCGTTGTACATCGGTATATATGTATGCATAGTGGCAAACTTATGAATCTGAATCTGAATCCGAGTATATATATTTGTATAGTCGATCGTAAAGCGGCGGCAGGCGGTCGCGAAGACGATCAAAAATAGATACGGCCGCCAGCTTTAACGGTCGCCCAAAGTCGACTGCAACTTTTAATGGCAAATAAAACAAATGCCGGGCAGGCCAATCGAATTAAATGGTCAGAAATTTTGAAATTTATGAGTAGAGCACACAAAGTCGGTGGATCGTTTCCTGTGCCCGCCCCAAAGCTACTTACTTTCGGCCATTACTTTTTAAGGATCCCATAAATGTTGATTTTGGCCTTAAACGTGTGTAATTGGCTGGCCATTCCGAAAATTTATTGCTCTGGTTTGTCCGCTCTGCTCTAAAATAATTAGTAGTTTCTGTATATCTTAAGATCAGAAACAGAACTGGATAAAATTACTTTAACTACTCTTTTTTTAGAATACTTTTGATCCTATTTATTTCGTTATAGTTCCATATATTACTAATAAACATACCTATTTTCTTCTCGCCATCATCACAGCATGTTTTCGTTATGAATTCACAAATATTTCTAGCTCGATGGATTAAAAAACGTTTTGACAAAACGATTCCAAAGCCCCGTCGAAATGAGGCAGACAGATCTTTGGCAGACACTCTTCCACGAAATTTGCACTCGGCGAGTATAATTTTTAATTTATTATAAATAAATAAATACAAATACAGATACAATTATTTAGTTTAGTACACACAACACAGAACTGGGAGAGGTGACCAGAGGACTGTTGGGGGGACTACGCGTGCTGGGCCACATTTTCGGGATCCAAACTCTCAGTAAACTGTATTTATCACCGCAAACCCTATAATTCGATACAAGAAAACCCCTGATTTCATTGATTACGGCTGTGCTCAAAATAATGTTATCAATGATGAAATTATTATTAAAAAGGAAATGTCTCTGCTTTAATTTTGATGCTGCATTTAAGCTGCATTGTTGAAAACCTTTAAATATATATTTCTAAATTCTGGAAAAAATAAAAAATCTACTGATTTTTGAACACAGCTGCGGACTGAAAACCCAGGGGGAAACGAAAGAAATCAAGGAGTTTGAGTCCTGGAAAATGTGGCTGGACACGGTGAATATCTAGGCCACGTCGGCGGCAGCCGGCGGAGGAGCAGGAGCCGTGCCAGGATCGGCTGTGCCCGCTGCTGCGGCGGCGGCCTGGTCTGCCTGCTCCTTCTGCTCCTTCTGCTCCTTCTCCAGGACCTCCAGCAGCTTGTCCGCTTCGGCAGCTTTGGCCTGGAGCTCGGCCAGCTTGCGCTGCTTCTCGGCCTCGTCCGCCAGCCGCTTGGCACGGCGCTCCTCCTCGCGACGCAGCTGCTCCTCCAGTTGGGTGCGCAGCAGGCTGTCGCCCAGGCCCAGCTTGTCCATCACGTGGGTGATGTCCCGGCAATAGCGGAGCCGTGTGTTGTTCGCCAGCTCCTCGGAGCAGTCCTCGCGGCCCTGCTGCAGCCGCTGCAGCACGGACATCTTGGCATCGACCACCACGTAGTTGGAGCTCGGGATGAAGCTGTCGCTCTTCTCGTTTAGGTACTGCACCAGGGTACGCAGCGAGTTGGAGTTGGCCTTGGCGTTGATGGCCCCGCTGGCGAAGTCCTGCGACTTCATCATCTGCGCATGCGTGGACTTCTGCTTGCACTCCAGGCAGTTCCAGTTCGGATGCGGCAGGCCGGAGATCTCCGGCACCACCAGGCCCGTGCAGTTCGTGTCCCGGCAGTAGAGGCCCGAGATGAAGGCGCCCTTCTCCTGCAATCGAAGGACGGAAAGGTTAGAGCTGGGACATGGTAAATGGGATAGTGGATGCCCTAAAACTAGCTATGTATCATCTCGGAACTTATAACCTGGATTTACACTTAAGGTTTGGATATAGATATATATTTATTTATTAAAGATGATAGTAAGGATGAGTAATTGCAACCCAATCCTTTAACTTCCCCATAAGGATAAACAGCCGCAAGACCCCGAACCACCCAAATGATGACCATGTTATCCGATGATCGACACATCATTATCAATCCCATCGGTAACCGGTAATCGGTAGTCGGGACACTTGCCAGCCCATCGATCACTTTAAGAACTAGAACACAACACTGGGGATATTTGGGGCGTGAGTCATTGGGGCCAAATGTCTTGGCTAATGAAAAGCGCTTTCGCATTTCTGGGATTCCGATTGCGATTCCGATTCCCATTCCGATTCTGTTTCCAGCTAAAAATAATCCGAAAACGGATTGAAGAAGCTCCAACAAGTGATCGCCGTGTATCTGCGATATGAATATATGCCCGGCTATATATCCACCGACGATCCGCAAGATTGACATATACGAAGAAAAAAATTAAAACAAAAAATGTCGCTCCGTGTGCGTTTTAATATTCGCTCGTGCGATCGATAAATATCCACACACAGGTTGTTAAGGATGTCGGCCACGTCATCTCCATAAAATTCTCAATCCGAATCGTTCGCCCAATTTGCTTGCTCGTAAATTAACTCAGATAATTAATGGTTCCGATCCGCAGACTGCACTATAGACAGCGAAAGTCCACTCTTTTTGGTAGAAAAATTAAAGAACGTTTTTTAATTTGAATAAATATGGTGCCTTTAGTAATTTCAATCCATTTTTTTTAGATAAGTGTGAAAATTTAGATAGATATGAAAATTTGTTATCATGAAAACTGCAATCACAAACTTTTATTTTTGGAAGAAAAAGTGGTCAATATATGTATCTCAATATTTTGCTTCCTAGAAATATAGTTTTTACCCATAGTACTCTGGATAAAAATTGGAGCGATTAACAAATGATGATCACTTGAAGCAGAGGAAACATATAATATATGAAAAAATCCCTTCGCGGCAGTTCGCTGAACTATTTATTAAATATATATGGAATTCATTACACCAACATGTGCCACAGTCGAGGCCAGGGAACTAGCAACAGCTTGGGCTATTTTTGGCATTTAACAAATGGGCTATTGAAGTGGACTTGATATGGGGGAAAACTTGCAGAATATGGTTTTACACATATTAAGGTGAACTATAGCTGAAAATAATTGAAATACCTATCATTTTGTCCAACTTATTTATTTTATAAATTATTATAAGGTATTGTAGCAAGATTCATACGGTTTTTATGCTTTGGTTGTTGATACACACTTTTGGTAAATCTAAAATAAATTTCTATCTGCTAACTTGTAGTTCTAATTTCATCATTAACTATATGAAATCCAGAAGGTTTTTTAAGCTGTATTCAATCGATTGACACCTAAGGTGCATATTATTTCAGAAAGTTTCCGACTCGAGTCACTAAAATTCTTCTTCCCCCAAAAATGCTCAATTAAATGTAATTTAAATTTGCAGGGCTAGAAAGAAACACCTGCTATATGAAATGTATATGGTTTCTATACGAGACATAGCTTGCAATGTTTTCCCACCCGTTAATAATTACTATTTGCTTGTTTTGGCTAGATTCTGAAATTTCGGGGACTTTAATTGCTCGCAGGCGATATTTACAGCAGAAAGACTGCTTCCACAGTCTGTTTATGGTTAAATTAAGATGATCTCGAGGGCCTTTCGTATAGGCATAATTCTCGTTGATTTCAGACTATTTGGCCTCTGCATTCCCATTCTAATTCTCGGCGAATGTCAAACGGGAAATTACGATCCGAGGCGCTATATGTGGCCATGGCCAAGAAAATCTGTTTCTATATGCATATGAAAACAAAAAGAACAACAACCGATGCGAGGCGAATAAAAAGTATCCGTCGGATAGCATGAGAAAAATGTGACAAAAATGAAAATGGGCAGCGAAATCAAAATCAAATCAATATGAGTAGAAAATTCCACCAAAAACCAAATGCCACAAGATATATGAAAACCGAGGGTTGTGGCTTTATTGTTTTTTCTTTTCTTTTATTCCATCTTTTTGCAGGAATTTCATAGAGAGACTGCCAAACGAATTAAGAAGCTTTTTGGAATACATCTATTTATTTGTGATTTAATTGAATTGTTTTCTGCCCGTTAAAAATAAACAAAGTTGTTTATAGCCATGTTTTGTTGTTGCTGTTGTTGTTGTGGCTTGCCACTTGTTGCGCCTGGAAAATGGAGGGAAATTGGGGAGGTGGTGGCTGGAAAATGGGAAAATTGGGGAGGAAATCAATCGATGGCCAAGAACAACAAAATCCACAACTTGTAATAACAGTGGGCAAAATCGATCTGGCCGCGAGTCTTTAATTGTTTTCGGATGAATTTTGATGGGTACAGGAAATCCTTAATGAAACTTTTCGCACCCGCAACAATTGCGGCGAAAATCAAAAAGCATCGCACTTGGGAACACTGTCTTCTTTTGATGGATCGTGGTCCAAAAATGGGCGAAAATCGAATGGGGAGCACGCACTTCAATGCGCAAAGACAATGCCGACCTCAATCGCCTTCGGGGAAACTATAAAGATGTTTGATTATTTCTTTGGTTAATTGGTTAAATAGTTTATTCAGCTGGCCCATCGATCATCGCTGGGATTTTGTGGGGCGGGGGAGTGATTTCCGATCAAGAGATGCGGAAAATAAGTGATCTTTAGAGTAATCATCATAAAAATAAAATGTTTGACTTGCAAAGGGGGCATAGTTACGAGAATTCGATTAAAATACAAGTCTCTTTGGGGGCGAAATCATGAGTAACTATTTTGAAGAATCCAAGTCACTTATTTCACTTTTTATTTAAACCAAAAAATCTAAGAAAATCACCCGATCACCAAAGTAAACGGATCATAAATATTATTTATAAGGTCCTTCATCACATATTTGAATTGAAATATTGTCTTTCCTTGGGAATTCAATAACTGATAAGTATTTAGTTAAAAGATATATATATATTTAACAATTTTAAAAGATAATTTGGGCTCTGCCATAAATATGTTTAAAAATCCCGTCGGTATCTGCTTCTAGTAGCGTTTATATTATTATATTTACAATATCTCCTAAATATAATATTTATGCGTACTAACAAGAATGCAAAACTACTTGTATATGATTTGTATTAAACGTATAAACTGTTACTGTGTCTAATAATATATTTAAATTACATTTATAAAGGTTAATTATACATGATCAACATCAACATCAAAAATTATTCGAACTGAATTTTAGAAATTTGTAGTTACTGACTTTGATTTTTGCTTAAGTCTTATGAAAAATTATTCTCATTCAAGGCTTTATAACACTGATTGGAATTTTTTTTCAAAAATCGTGGCAGCCTTAAAACGATTTAATATGCAAAGACAAAAGATGTTGCTAAGCATTGGAAATCTCTTTTTTACGTTCAAATTACGTTTTTAAATAAATCCATTTAGTTTGTCTAAAGACAAAATCTGTTTCTAAGATACTTTATCTTTCGATTTATCCAGTTCTCAAGACACTTATTTGTTTATTTCATTTGTTGTATCTATTTATTTTTAAGAAATATCCCTTAGAAGTGGATTACTTTTTCTAATACAACTCAAAGTACTTTTGGAGTGTTTCCAAATGAAGCCCCACTTTTTAGATACCCAATCCCAGTGGTTCACTCACCGTGGGGTCCGAGCACCGCGAGCACTTGCAGGTGAAGCCCTTCTTCATCTTGAGGAAGAGGTGGCGGGCGATGTTGCCGGTGAAGAGCTTGGTGTAGGTGGTGGTCACCTCGAATCCCTCGGGGATGTCGACGGCGGCGCGGACGATCATGTTGTTGGTCTTCTCCTCGAAGGTGTAGTAGGCGTTGGGAATGCAGTCGTGGTTGACGACGCCGAACAGCGGGTACAACGCCCTGTAGTTGAACTCCTGGTTGTCGTTCGTCCTGTCGGTGGTCTTGTCGAAGCCATTGGTCCTCAGCACGGCCACGGTGCGGTTCATGATCTCGATGAGCTTCTTGTCGGTGGGGAAGTTCTTGAAGCACTTGGCCGCGTTGCGCACCTCGGTGCGATGGTTGTTGTCCAGGTTGGCCTGCAGGCAGTAGATCAGGTCCCGCTGCTCCTTGCTCAGGTTGATGGCCCTGGCCACGCACAGCAGCCGGATGATCACCGAGTTGGCCACGTCCGGTTCATTGGGTCCCCAGGCCTTGAACAGGTCGCAGTCGCTCTTGTGCTGCTTCTTCTTGGCGCACAGGGAGCACACTGGGAGACCGCATCCCTGGCGGCACATGAATCTCGTGTCGGGCAGCATCTTCAGGCACACACTGCACGCATTCAGGGAGTCCTCCTCGTGGGCGGCCAGTCCGATCAGCAGCGGGCTGTCCCGGAAGATGATCTCGCCCCGCTTCAGGCTCCGGGTGGCCACCACCCCGCGTCCCGCGATCTTCGACACTCCGATCTCCCAGGCGGGATCCTTGTCCTTGAACGGGGCCAGGTGCAGATCCAGCAGCTCCGAGGTGCGTTTCGGGCAGATCATCTTGGTTAGGGTTCGGGTTCGGGTTCTGGTCCTTGGGATGGGGACTCGAAACGCGGCACACAGACAAAAAACAGCCGAGCGAGGAGGCACAGGCACTCAAACAAAAAAAAGATAAGATCCTCTGGTTATACGATTATTCCCTGGCGCAATCTCTTCTATATCGGATCTGTATCTATATATCTGGTATGTATCTGTATCTTTGACTGGTTCGCCTGCAGCGTTTGTTGCGCGACTGCCGTGAGTAAACTGTCGCCGTTTTCCAGCCTTACATGATTTTTATGTGAAAAGTCGGCGGAAAGCTGAAAATTCGAAAAGCTGTCGGCGATCGCCAGAAACGAGCGAAATACGAAGATCCCCGATGAGGGGGCTTCTCGGCATCGGGCGTTCGCCGCTGGCGATACGATCCCCGATTTTTGGGTACTCGACGGAGGAGGGAGGGTGTTAAGGAACGACAATCCCCAGAATCCCAGAGCAGTCCTGGTGTCCACTCGGGTGGATATGGATTGATGAACAGCGCATGGTTGAACGGCTTCTATGGCGGGATATATTTTTATATTCAGGGTGTATGGTTTATTATTAAATACAAATATTAAATTTCTTACTTATTTCAGTATGCTTTGGCTTTGATTTAAGTTTAAAAGTAGATTAGTACATTTTTTATTTCCTATTCTTATCATCTTTTTTTACTAAATATTTTGATTACTTTAAATTTATGATTTTTCTTATCAAAATCACAGATTTGCATTCAAAGTTTCGATCATGCTCTGACGTTTAGCAGCTCACTAAAGTTCACAAACAAAAACAGACCTGATTATAAGAAAAAAGTAGATACTAGTTATAACTACAAATATTTTAAGCTATGATTTGAGTTTTAAAATATTTGGCTTCAGTAAAACAGGATTTTCTAGGCTAGTTTATATGAAAAACATTTCCTAATTTGTTAGTTTTAATGAACAACATATCTTAAATAGGGACATTTCTCCCACATTCTGTACATATGTTCGGTGATATTTTTCCGCTGTGCAGTTGAACGGACGGACGGATGGATGGATGACTAGGTGGTGGATGTGGATGCCACGGGCGGACGGATGACTGGTCGGCCGGCGGATGTACAGATATCCGTACATTCGAAACGAGTGTTCGGGAATGTCGGCACACACAGATACAGATTCAGATACAGATACATTCAGAGATACAGATCGGCATGGATTTGTGCACTTCTGACAGCGCTCTGGAGTTGCGCCAAGAATGCCGCCCATCAGCGGATGATGAACGATCTCCGCCCGGGTTTTGCCTTTCTGGGGGGGATCGGGATGGCGCAGGGGATCAGGAGGGATCAGCCTTCGGGTGAGTGTCTGGGCTGGCTTAAATCACTCGCCCTTGATTAACACGTCCACGGATATATCGACCCCAAGCAATGGCCCCCGTAAGCGAAATAAATTCCGGTCAAATCACTTGGGTACAGTGCAAACTGACCCAGAAAAACTTTTATAATAATATGCTAAAACAAGTATAGATATTTTAAAATAGGGTCTCAACCTATGAACTTTAATTATTTCTCATAAAAACGTTGCAATATTTCGATTTTTCGTTTCAAATACTTTTATTCTGAGCCTTGCATAGCTTTAACTTATTATCAAAACATTTTGTAATATTTCCGCTTACCGGTTAAAATACTTTTATTCGGAACCCAGTGTTTTATTATAAACGTACTTTTCCTTGGCATTGTAATTACTAATTAGGTATTTTGTGAAACCGAGTCTTATCAGCGGGACCAGACCTATAAACATAACCCAGCTGATCTTAGATTCTACTTGAAGTACACAGATTAGCCAGCCTGAGTTGCCCTATAAAAATCGGGGAGGCTGCGATTGAACCACTAGTTTGTTATTTCATCGCAAGCGAAACCATCCGAAATGTTTCTCGCCAAGATTCTGATTTTTTGCACTGCCTGTTTATTGATCAGTGCCACTCCTCAAGGATTTGGAGGATTTGGAGCTCCAAAAACACTTCAGGGCGAGGAACTGGCCAGTGCCCAGAGAACTCTGCAGGCATCCCTCACCAAACTGGCCACCGGTGAAGGACCCCACTATCGGTAAGATATAACTAGATCCAGACCTTCATTACCCTTAATATTATTCTATCATTTTCTATCTATACACTTAAAGCATCTCCAAGATCCTGTCGGCATCAACTCAGGTGGTCGCTGGCTCCAAAGACATCTACTCCGTGGAACTGATCGACAACGAGGGTGTTACCAAGGTGTGCAATGTGGACATTTGGTCGCGATCCTGGCTTCCAAACGGTATCCAAGTGACCTTCATGTGCCCCAACGAACCAGAATTGGTTAGGCAACACAGTGCTTAGAAATTAATATTATTAATGGCCCAAAGAAATGTTGATTTTATTAAAGACATGCAAACCTATTCTTGTAGAAGCACCTGGAATACGTAGTTATCTCATTAAATTTCGGAACTGACACCCATGAATATGGTGTTTTGTCTGATTGGAACCGTAGATAACTGCCAGTCAAAATTTGAATAGAAAGAATAATGATACTTACAGAAAAATATTCCACTTTGAACAGTGAACCCATAGGTCTTATCAGCGAGATGGAAAGTCCATGAACTATCAGATCTAATATTGCAAATATTGAGAACTACTCGTATCATATGATAACGTATAATAACCAATACGTTATTATATGTTTAAAAAGTCAACAGTAATCTAGTAAACATTATATCGTTTATGAAAAAATAATAATTTGTATTATCAACGTACTATATCAGTTATAGTACCATTTAGTATTTTATTGATGCAGCATAAGGTATTTTTAATTCATGATACATTTTTTTGTCTTTTTGTGAGGACTGAGTACTTTGGTTTCTGTTTTCTTTCGGGGTGTTGATCATGCGTCGAGCAAGTGCCAGAAAAGCAACTTAATGAATTCGACAAATTGCAAATTGGCCACTGCCTTTGGCACCCCTTTCGTCACCTATTTCAGATTTCAGATTTTAGATTTCACATTTCAGATTTCAGATTTCCTACTTGGGGCACCGGCAACCCCCCTTTCGTGCGCCCCTGCCACCGGGGGGCGGCGATGACGAAGATGCCTCACGTGCATCGAATGCATCGCAAATTGGCCAACCATTCCGCATTCGCCTTCCGACAGCAGCAACTTTAATTTAATGAAATGCAAAATAATGCCAAGCAAATCAAGCAGCGCGAAAATGAAACAAAAAAACCAAAACCAACTAAAATATTATAATAAAATTCGATGTATGCAAATGGCTTGCAAAATAACCAAAAGCCAAAAAAACGAAAACAGGCCGGCGGCAACAACAATTTATTGGCGCTTTGACGCGTTTTTGCTGTGCTCCGCTGGCAATGGGGAATTTGGCGCCACCAGTGGCCATGTCGTCGTCCGTGTCACAAAGTTGCCACCGCGGACCCACCTCGGAACAAATAGAAATGGATGGAAATATGAATATAATTATACTCCCGCCAGGTGACTGCACTCCAGGCTGTCTGTCACTCGGCTTTTCACCTGCACTTCCGCCGTGAAAATGGACATGGAAATGAAAACGGAAAATGCGTTGGAAAGTGCCAGCTAATTACAAGTTAATCGAGATGCAAACACATTGGTGGCGCAGCGAAATCGCCAAGTGCTGCATTTGCCTCTAAAAAAAATAGGAAAAATCACAGCCAGTATACTAAAATAATATTTTCGAAATTTATAACAAAATAGAAAAAACAAATGAAACTCTGTCAAGCAAAAGGAGTCGCACTGAAAGTACCCTTGGAAAAAAAATCCAAAATAATTATATATGTAGGTGATGAACTAGTTTTTTATTTAATTCTTGTAGTTACTTTAATAAGTAATATTTTATATTTATATTTATATACTTAAACTATGTATAAATATTATATTTACATAATATTTATCACAAATTGAGCTCTAGTGGTATACTTGATCATAGTTATATATGTACATACCTCATACTCCCAAAAATTACTCATACGCCATGTTGTACCAATTAACACTTTTTTTTAAAGTAGTTCAGTCTTTGAAAATTTGTTTTAAAATATTTAAAATATTATATAGTAGCTCGTATCATTCCGTATATCAACTATGGTCCCCCAGATATATCGTCGGCCATATGCCGCACGAAAATAATCTATGAAAATTAGCTGAAAACCGAATGTATGCCATTTTTCCCGCTTTTCTTGTTGCTGCGGCTCTTGCATTTTCCTCCTCTTTAATTTTCAGAGTCAATTAAAATTTGTTAATTTTACTTATAATTTTAAGGTAGGCAAAAATGCAATGCGACGACGAGGAACGACGGAAAAAAAGTGGCAATTAAAATATTTGCGCGACTTTGTCACGTCGGCAAACAAAAACAGGCGGCGTGGGGAAAAGGGGGCGGGCTTTTCAGAGGGGGCGGAGGGGCGGGGGGCGTGGCTGATGGCGGCAAATTTGCCGTTGAATGAATGCAAATGAGTATGTATGGATGGGAATACCACGAGTCGCAGGGATCGGTCCACTGCAAGCGTAAAGATCTCGATATGGAAGGATAATGCCACTGATTGGAGATATATACGACACAAATAGTGCTTCATTTGTACCATATTATGAATGGAAATGGCTTGTTTACCTCATTACGCACTCGATTTCAGTTGAATCGCCTTCGGAGGGCCCACACAAGATAGGTTTTCTTATGACTTATTTTGTTATATAGTGGTTAAAGGTTGTTTAGAGGTCGTATAATAGTATAATAATTAAGACATAATCTGCCAAGCTAAATTGCCTTGTAAATACTCCTTACCTTTTTTTTAATGGTCTTACAACTATATTTTATAGCATACTTTTTGGCAGGAAGTTTGTGACTGATATTTACTTTTTTCTAAATATTTACAGTACTACTTTAATTTAAACATTTTTTAATATTATAATAAAAAAGAACTAGTATTCTTACTGAAAGTTTTAAAACATTCCATCGAGCAAAAGTGCAAAGTGAAATAGAATTCCCTAAAGTAGAAATCAAAGCACACCTGAATGTTTTCCAAAATCTCTGTGAAGCCGATCGGAACCGATCCGTAAAAGTCTAAATCTATATATCCATTTTTCCCTTTTCCCCCGCCAGATGGCGTGCCAAACTTCATTCACCTCAATGCCAATTACACGGCATGGACATTTTCAAAGCCCCAAAAGTCCACCCACCCACCGCAATTCTTTTTTTGGCGAATTTCGCATTTGATTTTAATACACTTAAACGCAATCAATTTTATTGCTCTCGTTGCGGTTGCCTGTCGAATCGAATTCGATTTGATTTGCTTTTGAACGCGCCATGTTCTCTGGGATTCTGGCTTCTGTGGATGTGGATGCGGATTTGGATTTGGATTTTGGCCTGGTCATGGATTCCGATTCTTCACCTGAAGATTCCGATCGAGAGACGAGATGAGATGAGATGTGGCAGGGAAAAACTTGTTTACAAGCTAAATGCGGGCGTGGAATGTTACGAAAATGAAATGAAAATGTTGCTGCGTTCCATTCCATATGCACATGATCTGCGGATGATCATGATCCATATATATATATCTACACAGAGAGAATTATTCAAGTAATTTTTACTCAAATTGAGTATTTTTGTACTCAAAAATTCAGCATGAACAAAAATTCTCACATTGAATGCAAAATACTCACTTTCAGTACAAATTTCTCAAAAAATTTGTACTTAAATTGAGTACGTTTGTGCTCTTTTTTGAACATTTTTCCTCAATATGAGTACAAACTGCACTCATTTTAAGAAATAATTTAGCTTGAATTTTAGAATCGAGTATCCCCTTTTCTCAAACTGAGAAATTTCTAGCGCTCAAAATGAGAAACAAGTTCTTGATAGTGAACTTATAAATTCTTAAATGAAGAACTTTTGCACTTAAACCCGCTCCACCCATTCCCAGAAAAAAGGTAAAATATTTTTTTTCATTATATTTTGTAATACAGTTATATATATACAAACATATTGTTTTTTATTTAAGTTTATGTTCCATGTTATGGGTTATGATATTATTCCCTTAGCTGTCTGGTCTAGCGAAAAGCAAAGAGGCTGAAAACAAAACGTTATTGTTAGCAAATATTGTAAATATATATGCATATATAAATATGAAATAATAAAATTAGAAATGTACATTTAAAATGCATGTATGTATGTATGTACATTATACATAAAAAACTAACAAAACTAGACACGTGCTTCACGCCACTTACAATCACACATACATAAATATTGATGTACACGCTTTGGCAATATTTTTGCAGTGTTTGTTTATTGTATCATTATTAAGCACATTATAAATACAGTTAAAATTAAAGAACTTACCCTCGAGGTACGGAAGGGTGGCACGAATGTCCGTTCACTACAAAAGTTTTTTAACTTTGTGTTACGCGCACGTCTTCACTTTGCTAAATCACACGGCAAATGACAGTCACACAAATGCGGCGCGTACCACTTTACACACCCATTAGTGAGAAAGAGACAACCATATACGCAACGAACTAAAGGCCGCTCATCTCTCGTCTCGTTCTCAGAACGGAACTCTCTAGAACCAATTATGAGAATTATCAACTCATTTTTGAGTCGGTCGATTACTCATAATGAGAATATTAATTCTCAAGTTTGAAATTGAAGAACACATTTCCTCAAACTTAGAATTTTGTGATCAATTCAAGTTATTTTTCTTAAAATGAGTGCAACTTTTCTCAACATGAGCTTTTTCCACAAATTTTGTACTTAAATTGAGTACATCCTCAAAATGAGAATACAAATTCTCAATTTCAGAACGTCATAATTTTCTCTGTGTATATATCTGTATCGGCGACTTATGTGCTAACATAAAACAGATGACGAACGGCAGCTGTGACTGCCAATTTCGCCTCAAATACAAAACTCGAAAAGGTCAATATCGATTTACCAAGTGTTTTTCCAAATTGGAATTCTTCAAAACAGATGCTGTCTGGATGCCAGAAAGTTATCATCAGATAATCTGCTTACTGATAATCTTAGTAGGACTTTGCAAAACTGGTTTGTAATATTTGTAATTTTTGAGGAAAAATATTTTTGATTTAATCTATTACAATCAGAACATATAACAATAAGTTAAGATGAATTAATCGAAATCTTTCTGATTTCCTCACGAATATAGCCGCAGTTACTATAGTCCAACCCATGACCGTGCCAATCGGGTTGGCTTAGTTCCACCGATTTCTCTGGAGCTTAGTCCAGCTTTGCGACTGCAGCGGAGGAGATCTCCATCAGAATGGCACGGCGATCGCAGATCTGGTTGCTCGGGGTGAGTAAATGAGATTTATGGCCCATTTGCAAGTGTCTGTGTCGGCAAACAAACCGGTTGCAAGTGGAGCTGAAGGGAACCACTCAAATAGGTCATGCATCTGCGGCTATACTAGATTGTTCAATGTGGTGTCATATGCAAACCAAAGGTTGCCTTTGAGTGATAAACAGTCGGTGTTCTAGCTGTGTGCCTAGTTTTGACCAACTTAAAATTGAAAAACCGGAAAAGATAGGGCGATTTTTACCTGAAATCCTATACCTATTTTCCGACTCTAAGCAACTCAACTAAAACTACGTATTTTGGCAATCATTTTGCGAAATAAAGTCGGAATAGGGAATGTCATACCTCGATGAGCTCGTAATTCAATTCCGAATCGATTGGCATTCAAATCCAGAAACTTTAATTTTGACCGATTTTCGCAAAAATAGACGATGTTACTCCTTACTAAAAATGTGAAATTGGGTAAAAAAATAAATTTCCCGGAATGTGATGCGGATCGGTAGCCTAGGTTGTTAGCTGCTCAAAACAGTCGGTCTTTCAGCTGTGCGCCTCGATTTGACCAAGTTACGATTGAATAACCGCAAAAAATTATGGTATTTTTGTCTAAAATCCCTATACCTATTTTTTGACACAAAAAAACGAGGTTTTTTGGCAATCATTTTGCGAAATAAAGTCGGAATTTAAAATGTCATACCTCGTTGAGCTCGTAATTAAATTCCCTATCGATTGGCATTCAAACCCGTAAACTTTAATTTTTGACCGATTTTCGCAAAAATAGACGATGTTACCCCTTACGAAAAATGTGAATTTTGGTCAAAAAATTAATTTTCCGGAATGTGATGGGGATCGGAAGCCTAGGTTGTAAGCTGCTCAAAACAGTTAGTCTTTTAGCTGTGCGCCTCGTTCTGACCAAGATACGACTGAAAAACTACCGGTTTTTTGACCCAAACAAACTAGGTTTTTTGGCAATCATTTTGTGAAATAAGGTCGGAATAGGGAATGTCATACCTCGTTGAGCTCGTAATTAAATTCCCAATCGATTGGCATTCAAATTGGGAAACTTAATTTTTTGACCGATTTTCGGTGAAATAGACGATGTTACCCCTTACTAAAAATGTGAAATTGGGTCAAAAATTAAATTTCCCGGAATATGATGGGAATCGTTAGCCTAGGTTGTTAGCTGCTCAAAACAGTTAGTCTTTTAGCTGTGCGCCTCGTTCTGACCAAGTTACGTTTGAAAAACCTCATAAAAATAGGGCTATTTTGGTCTGAAACCCTACTACCCCTTTTCCTACCCAAAAAACCAAGGTATTTTGGCAATCATTTTGCGAAATAAAATGGGAATATGGAATGTCATACCTCGTTGAGCTCGTAATTAAATTCCCAATCGATTGGCATTCAAACCTGGAAACTTTAATTTTTGACCGATTTTCGCAAAAATAGACGATGTTACCCCTTATGAAAAATGTGAAATTGGGTCAAAAAATAAATTTCCCGGAATGTGATGGGGATTGAAAGCCTAGGTAGTTAGCTGCTCAAAACAGTCGGTCTCTTAGCTGTGCGCCTCGATTTGACCAAGTTACGATTGAATAACTGCAAAAAATAATGGTATTTTTGTCTGAAATCTTTCTACCAATTTTTTCGCCTAAACAAACTAGGTTTTTTGGCAATTATTTTGTGAAATAAAGTCGGAATAGGGAATGTCATACCTCGTTGAACTCGTAATTAAATTCCCAATCGATTGGCATTCAAACCCGTAAACTTTAATTTTTGACCGGTTTTCGCAAAAATAGACGATGTTACCCCTTACTAAAAATGTGAAATTGGGTCAAAAAATAAATTTCCCGGAATGTGATGCGGATCGGTAGCCTAGGTTGTCAGCTGCCCAAAACAGTCTGTCTTTCACTTGTGCACCTTGATTTGACTAAGTTACGATCGAAATACTGATACAAAAACGGTATTTTCGTGCAACAGGCCTGATTCGGTTAGAAAATGTGTTCCTTGGTCGTCATGGTCTAATATAAGACGCTGTACTTTGTTCTATTTGTTTTCCAATTCTCTTATCATATAGTATAGATGTCCGGGTCGGCCGGTTCCGACTCATATTCTACCTGCAACGACAGGCGGACAACCAAGGGGAACACCCAAAGCTTTTACTTAGCTTTAAGCTTAGATTGTTAATTAAGACTACAGCTCTTTAAATACACTCAAAAATGTTATGGGAACCTTGAAGAACCTACTGAGTTAATATAGTTCCAAATTATGCCTTATACCAATTGAACGCAAATATTTTTCAAATTCAATTTTACCTTATCCACATTTTTAAGCTATTTTTGTAGGGTTTCATTAAAGGGAGACAAACTTCCTTTATTTCGGTAGAAAACGATAGTATTTATTTATGCACTGTGTGATCGGACCAGTTCCGGTTCGTTGGCACACCTGAAGGTCACTTCGACGCCATTTTCCACCCAGCTTCTTGACCAAATCTCCACAGTGCACAGCTTGGTGTCACCATCGGCGTTGATCAGCTCCACGGAGTAAATGTGTTTGGATCCAGCGACCACCTGGGATGTGGCCGAGATGATCTTGGAGATGCTATACATGGGTGCATAGATGGCACAAGATAAAATAATATTGAGGGTGTAGATGGGTACTATCTCACCGATAACGGGGTCCTTCACCGGCAGCCAGTTTGGTGAGGGATGCCTGCAGAGTCCTCTGGGCACTGGCCAGGTCCTCGCCCTCAAGGGTTTTTGGAGCTCCAACTGCTCCGTGTCCTTGGACCTTTGCGCTGACCAGCAAACAGACTGCGCACAGGATCAGGATCTTGGCGAAGAACATTTCGGATGGTCTGGCTGTTGTTTCGACTGCAACGAAATAAACAAACTGGTGGATCGATCAGCAGCAGCCTCGATTTTTATAGGAGAACCCAGAGATTAGTCGCGCATTGCAGCGGACCTAATTAGTGCACATATCATTTTCAGGGGATGGGGATTATCGCATCGGTTGGGTCATGATTGCCTCCTTTTGAAGAGATAAGACTTTGGGTTGCACTGACCGACTAATTCCACCGCCAAGGCCACAAAGTGCGTTTTATATAAGTGGACTTCTTTAAACCGAACTTAAAATGACCTATAAGGGTGATGCAACTTAAATAAATCGTCTTCGGAGTAAGTTCTATATTTATGATATGAAATTATTACTTATTATAAACAGTGGCTAGAGTATTTTAATTAAATAGTATATTTCTTTAATTGTAGATTACAGTTTTATAATAGATTCGTTTGATCCCGGTCGTTCCAACCTACTTTTTAATATTCTACTTACATTCAACAGAAAACTATTGTGATAGGTTCAATCAGTGGCGTAGAAATACAATTTTAACGGGGGTGTTTTTTAAAATATTGCTATTATTTAATTCTTATAAATACATTTGATATCATTACGACACCCCTGAGGACAAATTTACTACTATAAAGATTTTGTCTAGTTCTTCCTTTATTTTAATTTAAAAAAGTTGTTGTTTATTTCCAGCTGTATTTCCTACTGGCACCTCCGTTGATCCTGGCCATCCGTTCCTCCCAGTCGCTGGCTCTCCTGCGAGCCCGGGATCAGTGCGGCAGGGAGCTAACCGCCGGCCAGCGCCTCCTCCTGGACAGGATGCAGTTCGAGGACGCTCCACATGTGCGCCACTACCTCCATTGCTTTTGGTCGCGTCTGCAGCTCTGGCAGGATGCCTCCGGATTCCAGGCCCAGCGCATCGTCCAGAGTTTCGGGGGCGAGAGACGCCTCAATGTGGAGCAGGCGCTGCCCGCCATCAACGGGTGCAATGCGAAGACGCGGTTCCGAGGTTCTGGATCTGGAATGGGTTCAGTGGTGGACTGGTGTTTCCGGGCCTTTGTCTGTGTGCTGGCCACGCCAGTGGGGGAGTGGTATAAGCGGCACATGTCCGACGTCATCAATGGAAATGCCTAAAGGTATCCATGCCCAATCAGTAGATAGAATATAAAATACAAAGTTTATTGTAGAGCAAAGAAAACTTTGAGAGGCCTTGGAAATATTTCCTCATAAAGAACTGGGACTAAATTCGTTAACAAAAAATAAAACCGCGAATTCTTCAGATCAAGAGGAACTTATATGGACCATTTCAACATATTTGTTTGTAAAGCATGTCTTAACCATGGCTACATACATATAACAAAATTAACGCGAATTCCTCAGAGCAAGAGCCAATATCATTTTTGATAGTCTCCATTATAGAGCAATTGATAAAATAAGTCAGTTAATTCTTAGGAAGCAGAGGAAATACTTTTAAAGATATCATATAAATAAATATGTTATTACATTAAATTTTCAAATATTGCATTTTGTAACGATGCTACAATACTACTCATACGATTCTACGATACGACATCGCATCGTGCAGGTCTATCACTGGCTATGTACTTACTATAGAAAGTCAATAAGATAGATGTAAAATAAGTGGTTCGGAACTTGGTTTAAACAGAAAAAACAGTCCCATCAGTGTGGCCGAAAATTGACTCTGGTCAAAATTGACATCTAGTAGGTCATGTCATAGCTGCAAAATTCGAAAATATGTTACAATAGAGTCAATCGAGCGCAGGGCCTGGATGAAAGATTCAGAAAAGCAGGAAAAATGAAAACCGGAAAACTGTGCGACTCTGGTGAGCCGAAGCCAGACATCATCTTGGATCACAGCGAGGCCGGGCTCCACAGCGATGGACAGCCGCTAGCATCCGAATCCCAACTCCCGGTGGGTCCGGTGGACCATCGGGAGCTCCAGGACCCCAACGACCCTGGTGAGCCGAAGCCAGACATCATCTTGGATCACAGCAAGGCCGGGCGCCACAGCGATGGACAGCCGCTAGCACCTGGATCCCAACTCCCGGTGGGTCCAGTGGACCATCAGGAGCCCCAGGACCCCAAGGACCCCCAGCCGGTGCGGGCGCAGGGAGGTCAGAGCTCGCAGTCGGCGAACAGCAGCGATGCGGGCCAGAGCCAGAATCCAGACCAGAACCAGGACGCGGGCGCCGGCTCCGGATCCGGCCACAACAAGAACCAAAACCAACAGCAACAGCAGAGCCACAATGAGAACAACCAGAACGACCAGGACAAGAACCAGGAGCAGGACGCGCCGAAGAAGCGCTGCGACAAGTGCGGCAAGAAGCTGGGCCTCACCGGGGGATTCCCCTGCCGCTGCGGCGGCACCTACTGCGCCGTCCACCGCTACAGCGATCGCCACGAGTGCAGCTTCGACTACCGCGAGATGGGCGCCACCGAGATCCGCCGCAACAATCCCGTCGTCGTGGCCAGCAAGCTGCGGAAGCTCTAGGCTCTAGGTGCCCACAGTCCCACTACGACCATCCACTCCTACCACGCCCTCATCCCGAGACCCCCTGCCAAGGATCCTCCACGGACGTGACATGACCATCCATCGGGATCGATCCATCTATAAAAAAAAACACTAAAAAGCAACATCTATCGAAAGCTTGAAAAATAATGGGTGGACTGCTATAATAAATACCAGTCACACGACCTTTCGTTTTTAGATTAAATTTAGGGCGGTTGGGGATGCCAATTTAGAAATAATATTAAATAATAAATATAAATATATATAAAATAAATAAATATTTGATATATAAATATTGGTTAAGTCTTTATAAAAGAGCCAACAGTCAATCAAATCAAATCACCTCTAGCTTAAAGCGGGTTAAATTTAAAAATAGAGTAAATATTTTCATATTACCCTGAGGTTAATTCTATATAAAAGAAGGAAACATCTTTTCAAATGCCAAATTTCTTAAGTTTTTCCAGTAAAATAACACTATAAGGGGTACTTCATTTATCAGCTCAAAAAAATTTCTATATTTTTTATAAAAATATGTTTTTATTTATATATTGACCGTACACATATGTATATAGGACAATAGTAATTATAATTTTGTTATAATGTACATACATATATACGATATTTTTATCAGATTCCGTATACAATTTCGAATTTTCATAAATAAACACAGTCATACGACAATAACAAAAAAAAGGGTTTAAATTTCAATAATTTAGATCAATACATTTAGAGAAGCAAAAAAAATATTTAAACTATTTTTGGTACAATGAAAATTAGTTAAAAAGTGTATACATATATACTGAAAACATGTTATATCTGTGTGGTAAATTAACTGAGTAAGTTTTTATATATCTCATATGGTCATTTGAGTAGAAGACACAAATATGTGATAAAGAAATATGGTAAAATTAAAATCATTGCATAATAAAATGTTAGAAACAGTAGCCATTGGGCGTTGTATAACTATTTAGGTTGTTATTCAACGTATAAAAGAAATATTACTTTAATAAATGATGAAACAATTTTCTTTAAATTCTTCAAAAATTAAAGAATTTCGATGATAGTTTAAAAAAGAAAAGTCTAGCTGAGAATGTTTAATTAATTTAAAATATTGTACATCTAGGAAACGTTTATCTTTAGAAAACCTCAAATGAGGAATACAAAAACAGTTATGAAGAAGCCCTAAATAGCTGGCAATACCTGTATCTGATCATATTGCTATATTATATAGTCATTTGAGAATGGCTAAGTACCATAATCTGATAGATTATAGATCGTAATGCTCATTTGAGAAGGGTTAAGTAGAGGCGCGAGATGTCCAAGGTGCCACTTGGGATCTACTTGAAGAGCAGCGGCAGCCGGCAGTGGGGCTCCGTCTCGCTGGGGTTGTCCGAGTAGAGGGAGATGGTCCGGGCACTCAGGTCGAAGATGCCCACGGCTATGGTCTTCACCACCTCGTCGCAGCTCTTGTTCTCCCGCCAGACGCAGAAGTCGCCGCCGGAGACGTCGCCCAGCATGTGGCGCACATCCTGCTCGCTCATCGGCGGCTTGTAGCTCCCGAAGGTCTGCATCCGCGAGATGCTCGAGTCGATCATCAGGTCGTTGGCCTGGTCCTGCCGGATGCGGTCGAACCTGCAGATTGGTATGTATGTGTACTTCCAGTTCTCTCAGTTATCCCTTGGGTTACTCACTGGTTGACATGGTAGTTGTGCTCGCCCAGCGGCACCTCCTTCACATTCAAATGGGACTCGTTCTTGCGCTCCGGCGAGGGAGCCATCTCCACGTTGTAGCACATCTGGCGGGGATCCCTGTGGGGGGTAGACAAGATACTGGGTTAGGGAGGATACTCCATCGAATGCACATTCTACCTACGCCAGGAAGGTGAAGTTGACGGAGCAGGCGTCCGCCGCTCCCACTCCCGCATCCTTGAGCACCCGGAAGGCGTCGTCCACGTTGCTGGTGGCCAACAGAGCCCTGGTGATGAAGTGTCGAGCTGATGGAAGGGATTGATTTAAAAACTATATTATTTTCCCTGATAAAGTATGAAATACTGAGAACATATATCTGCACGTTAATTTCACTATTTCGTATTTAAGATTATATTTAAATAAACTATAAAACATTGCATGATTTCTTTTGAAGATATTATAATGTATTATAAGCAATGCTATTTTAGGCATTTGTTAATTGAATAAAAAGGAATTGTTCTATAAAAATCAAAGTGTAAAATCCTTAAATAAATATAATTATCCAATTTAATGTTTTTATGTTTTAAATTAGCCTACACAGAGAGAAATATTAAAGTACATTATTCTTGAATTGAGAACATTCGTTCTTAAAAACCGTTTAAGTACATTTTTGTACCAATGTTCTCAATAAAATATTTAACAGTGTTCTGAAATTTGCTGCGATGTGTGATCTATATATAAGAAACGATTAAATCCAGTAAGTTCATCATGGTAAATCTTCACCTTTTAAACTGTATTGCATATAGCCTATGATATAGGATTAAGTATTTTTAGGTTTTATGGTTTAATACATGCAATTTCATTATTAAGGAAAGAGGCTAGCTACTTAAACCATGGTTTTTAGGTGAGAGGGTTCCGAACTTAAGACTAGATTCTCCCACTTTTTCGGGCACACTTACGGGTCTTGCCGCTGCGCAGGAGCTCCGCGCTGATGGTGTTGATGCTGAAGACCAGGCCGTGGTGGTTCTGGCTCATCGTGTAGCCGGGCAGGTGGCCGGCGTAGCAGAGGGACATGAAGTGCTCCTCCTTCACGTTGTACTTGCCCTGCGGCTTGTCGCTGATGATGTGGGCCACCACGAAGTAGTAGTGGTTCAGGGTCTCCGTCAGGGCGTCCTCGGTGTGGCCAAGCAGGCGCTATCCGGAAATATATCGAAATATTTATGAAATCTCATTTAAATGTATGCAGTTTACTAGACGCCCAGACACTTACGCAATTCTTCTGGTTGACAATGATCGTGGAGCAGCCGGTGGGTTGGTTTTTGCTGCGCGGCTGGTGCTTCAATGCCTGGGGCAGAATCTCATCCAGATGCAGTAGAAAAAGCTGAGAAGCGAAAGGAAAACTAAGTCGAGGTACTAATATACCCAGCTTCGGTTTTATTTTTAGGTTTATATGTCGAGCTGATCCCGTTTTCGAAGGTCTGTTTTTATTTAGTTGCAATAGGTAACATATCATAATTATCATATATGATCATAACTTTCATATAAGTAGCCTCAAAAGCAGCTGCACTTTTGGCTACATCTTTTTCATAACCAGTTTTCCCTCGTCTAAAGCACTTTGAAGTACCATTAACAACACATGCGTTAATTAACCCATAAATATGCATTTTTCCGAAGTTTAATGTTAAGTTCAATGTCGTTAAACAAAACCCAGTCATAGAATATTTAAGAAATATTTAACTACCTTATAGGAAATATTAAAAAAGCAATGATATAGTGACTGTAAACTGTAACAAAACAAAGTATTAGGCGTAATGGCTCATTAGATCCCAACTTAAGCGAAAGGCGCAATAAATTTGGATTAATTGAGTACTTATCTCAGGTGTATCCAAGCCATTATCCATCATTCAGTCGTTTAAGACCCCTGCTAATAAGGCACAACTAAAGCGAGGGCAAGACACAATAATAAAATAATGTGTCTCATAAAGTCATCAGTTTTAATGCACTCATAATGCGACTAATTTGAATTATAAAACGCCACCACCTGAGCCCCTAATGATCATGATTCCAATCCCACCAAGACCAAGACGAGGGCGACGCACCATGACCATAGCCAGATTCTATGTAGACTTGGCCAAGGTCGGTGCGAATTTCGTGATGTTTGCGATTTTGCGTGCAATTAATTGGCATCAGAGAGCCGAGCGCAGAAATTATAACACATTATCGATATGTATGTTTGTACACCATATACCACATACCCGCTATACCCATTCGATCCGATACTATCCGATCCGATCTCCATGCTACTTAGCCATGCTAATGAGCCCGTTTAACTGATGGCTAATAATCGTATTGCCATTCCCCATCCCCATCCCCATACCCATACCCATCCCACTCCCAATCCCAATCCCACTTTCACTCCCACTTTAAATTCAAACAATCGAATCGCGGTCCTAAGAAGCCAACCAAGGGTTCGTCACCGTCTTTCGCCGGCTTCTTTTGACGGCTTTTTATTTATATATGCGCCTTGACCAATGGCAAATTGGCTTACAAAGTAAGAAAATAACCATGCAAGCCTTTGAATACCCTTGCTATTTTATTACCCTGTTGAATTATTACAACGTAGGTATTTAATAATACTATCATTTCACATAAAAGAGAATGGAACTGATATCATGTAAGAAAAGTAGTACGAAATATAATCATAACACCCACTTAAATTTCTCAGAACTGCAAAATGGTATACCATGTATACATGGAAAAGAAAAGAAAATATTTTTATAGATTTCAGATCCTAAACGTAACACTAAATATAGAGGGGTACTACAGGAAATAATTATGAAAGAGTTGGTATAAAGCGAAAAAAAAGGTTTTCCATTACGACCAGCTAGTATTCTCAAAAAGAAAGAATAGATCCTAAACGCAGCACTGAATAAGAATGCGAATTGTAAAAAGTTGGTATAGAGGAACTACTTGGGCCGGTTAGAATGGTCACCGAATCGGGGGACAGTCACCTGGCAAAAAGACCGGCTGTCTATCATACTTATCATTCTCAAGACCACAGCACAACGGAACTAGTTCAATGTCTGCGCTCTGCACGGTCACCATTTCGAGTTCTGATCGCGCACAGTGGGCCCCGGCTAATCGCACCTGGCCAGCGGCTAATTAACAATGCATTTCCTTTTCGTTTAAGCCACTCTCTATGGATTGTGCAATCGAATCAATTAAAACGGAATTAAAGGCTGAACCATCTAATTGCACGACGGCGAGGGTTTAGATAACACCTCATCGAGCGGTCCCATCCCATAAATATGGAATAGGCTAGTTAGTTAGCATGCTCCGTAGCCAATTATCACTGTACTTGGGGCGGTGCACTCGCAAATCGCATTTATTGTTGTCATTGGGGTTACAATTGGCAACTTGCAACTGGCAACACGCAACACGAAACTGGGGTTTTTGTAAGTTTTGGTTTTGCTTTCGGGCTTGGACACTACTAAAAGCCTATGGATGGTTAGACCCCGTACCGTTAGAACTCTAGAGCATTACAATCCACTCCCACGACGACGGGCCTTGCCGCGCGATTATTATTGTTCGATTGCAATTACAATATTTGAGCCACAGTCGCGGGGCAATTATGTGTATTCGTTTTAATGGCCATTTAATTGTGTATTATATTATTTGCTAAAATGCTAAAATGCTATAATGCCTGTTAGCTTATACGCTTATTAGCTGATTAGGTTATTAGCCGGTCGTTTACAGTTGGGCGCTAATTGGACACTTGACTCACCTTATGGAATTCCACCTCCGCACCATCGGCCACGCCCTCCAGTTCGCGAATATACTGCGGGAAGCTGTCCTTCACCGATCCCAGGGTCTCGTTGTAGATTTGCCCTGCAAGTGGATATTAAGTAGATCATCGTGAATCATTGGAACTTTTACACTGCACATATATCATCTCTTTCGGTACTCACTGCCTTTCGGGGAATGGTAGAGCGGCAAGTAGGTCTCGTTGAGGGGCTTCGATAAGATCAGAAAGTTCTTGATCATCGAGCCAAAAGTGCGGCCCTGCAATTAAAATGTATTTTTTACTTATTATTATATGTATTGCTCAACGATTAAGTGCTTTCCCATTTGGACACGATCTCGGCACTTGGATCTCATATCTCGTATCTATTCGCCAAAACGCCGGGGGTGTTTGCTTAATGAAAGACAACAATGAAATCGAAAACAGAAACAGAAACATAATCGATCACGACCGATCGCTGTGTAAACAAAGCCACCAACTAAGACACAAAAAATATGAATAATTATACGAATTAAACAATATATTGAATACGTTGTCCGTTGCAAAGTGTATATAATTTGACTGGGTGGGACCCGAACATGGTGACATAGGTGGACACGGATGCCGAGGCACGTCCATCAAAAAATAAGCAATATATTTTATTATCCAGAACCAAAAAAAATCTTATTCGGGACAAGGTACTTGAACCACAGAGATATAACATTTGATTTTACTTCTCTAGTAAACTGAAACGGATTCATTTATTTATATTTATATTCAATTAAACAAAAAATGCATTACAAAACCTAGGGACTTTAATGGGGAGACAAAGATTTCCAAAGATTATATCATTTTCAATCTAACCAATTTAATCTGAAAACATTTTGAAATTATTATATTATCTTTTATTATATATTATAAATTTTATATAACACTTTCAAAGGTTTTATTGTTTTCCGAGTGTAGCAAATATTCTTGACAGTTGGACAAAGACACGAGAATCACGAATCTGCATTCGTAAACAGCGTCTGGGTCCGGGAGTTGTCAAACGAATCGAGGTCTTTGGGCCTGGCCATTAAGATATAGCCCAACTGGCTTTAGTTTATAACGACCGCAATCCAGATAAAGATGTGGGTTATCAGGCAAAGTCTGATATGTATATGACCCATTAGGAGTAAAAAATTCTGTTCTTTATCGCAGGCAACACTGCCCAACAGGATTCTTGGTGGGTATTAGTGAATCCTATTTATGTTCCACCACATTCTTACTAAAGTAATTGGGTTCAGATACAGTCCCAATCCAGTGGATCATCGATTGTGGTTGATATATGTAACACAAGTTTAATCATAAATCACCTTAACTTGTCCAACATAAGAAAGCTTACTTGATTAGGCCATAGATAAGACATAAATGTCTATTGGAACAGTTCGAATTTTATAAGTTAAAAGAGTTTTAAATATGATATTATTTAAAAAAAAATTCTTAAAATATCTTATGTTCCGATTTTAATTCTTATTTTATTAATTGACATTAACTCTTTAAAAGGTTTAAGTTTAAATATTTAAAATAAATAGTTTTCCATGTTTAATACTAAAGCTAGAAGTCTGTAGTGTATTTTTAGAAAAAGTTCGCCCATACTTCCCCAAAATAAAGTTCTAACAATAGCGTGAAACTCTTTAAAAATGTAGCTGTCGTGACCCACTCGCAAGGTGAAGAAAAGTTCTTAAAGGTCGGGAGGGTTTTGGTAGGGGGAGTTCGGGGACTTACCATATCGAAACCCACCTCATAGTGGGTGCCCCTGGTGTAGAGGACTGGAACCGCCTGGCGACGTGGAAGGATCTTGCCGGAGGACATGTTAACTCAGAGATCTGAAATGGGTTGGGAACTCGGAATTCTGGGGTGCTGAGTAAAGAGTTCTGAGGAAAGTAGTCGGTGATTTTATTATCGCGCGTGGTAAAAAAGGAACAGTCGCGTTCGTTGATATGATAACAAAATGTAGAAGTAAACAAAAAAAGGCGATTCGATCGGGTTCAGTTCACCAGCTGATTTGTTCTAGAGCGCTTGAAGGCAGAATTCAAACTGATTTGTTTTGTTTTGGCGCCGACGCAGGCAGGCGTCGCAGTCGCCGACCGCTGCCGCAGTGGCCGTCGACGTCGGCAGCGAGCGCTGCTGCGGCGTTATCGATTACGGCCGTTAGTTTAACCCACTAATGACCACGAATGCCTCAAACTGCCACTCACCTAATAATATTTCCTTTTGAAATGATTAAGTTTATAATTCTTCTATTATGACTAATGCTTCTTTATAAGTAGTGCCAGTTACTGGGTCATATCATCATTAAAATATTTTTTATTTAAATAATTAGTTTATCTGAATCGAATATTATAGCCCTAATCCGTTTGATTTCTCTATCAGTAAGTAGTGACAGATACAACATAAAGGCCTTATTACAGTTCAAATGAATTAAGAATTCCACAAATTTCCACTTCAAGATTGAAGGGAAACGCTTTCTATTAAAAATTCCATTCCTGTCATTCCTTTTACAGATACCAAAAATATTAATAATAAACTATAAAGTTTTTTAAATATATTTGCAACTAGGCAGCAGGTTAAAAAACGCATACCTTAAAGTCAGTCAACCTAAAGAAATGTATTGAGCTTTCGATATGTTTTATTCAACTATTACTTCCGTTAACACTGATCTTTCAGAACCCATTAGGCGGAGATTATTCTCCGATAATAAGTTTTATTTCGTTTATTAAGCTGTCAAAAAATCAGATTTTAGAATGTTTTCGGATGCTAAGACAATTAGTTGCCGTCTAATAGGCTTTACGACTTAATCGAACGATTTTGCCTCACATTGTTACCCTCTTCTTTTGCGTATACGTAATATGAGTGCTAGAAATATACCCCAGTACACCCCAATACACCCTTCCATTCGACAACTGACCATGAATATTTTCGCTTTTGTTTGCCGTCCATATAAACACGTTTTCGATTGTTTCGCCGTTTTCTTTTCTTTCCATTTATTGCTTTTTAACTGGGTTGGATTTAGCATTCCCTGGTTATTTTTCTGGTTAATTTCCACGCCAGCTGAAAAGCGTGCGAACCGATACTTAATATTAATGAGCGAATTATAGATTGGTTTTAGGGGGTTTAGAATTTTCAGACACTGAATCAAACAAATGAAATGCGAATAAATTAGGTTCTCGAAATATATTCAATCTATATGCCACTTGCATTTTAATTATTTGGATTTTTTTCTTTGTTTATTATATGAGAGAGCTTTCAAAGTGGCCTATAATCGCGACGATAATGATAATGATGATGATGATCATGACAATGATGCCGCAGCGCAACTTTCTCAGTATCTTTTTGCCCATTAGCATCACAATTAAATGTTTTCATTAATTTCGTGGCGAAAAACACAGAGCGGTGCGAAACTTAAAAATAATTTATATTATATAAGTGAGAATATCGATTATGAATGAATGCGTATGTGTGTCTATAGATATATATAGAGATACTGTAATTTCCCCGATAGTTCGAACAGATCAGGTCGCTTTCGTTATTCAATTTGTATTAACTTTCCTTCGTTGTTGTTGGCGCTGTTTGGCTGGCGGCTAGAAAAATATATGCACCGCATTTAAATAATAATGAAAACAAAAGTTAAAACAAATAAAACCCACAAAAACCCGCTAGGTTTTATAGAGAGAGGGAGAGAGTGAGATGCTGTCGAACGACGGACTGCAAGAAAATGACATTTTACAGTTGCCTTTTACACTCTCTACACTCACCTGCTCTTCGGGGAGTTCGGATTACCCGGTTCCATTGGTAACGCTCTGTAGAAAACCATATAATAGACCATATACGGTCTATGGATCCTATAAACATTTCCTGGACTATAAAGATCTTACATGAAAATATAAAATAATAAGTCGTGGTATTTATTTTCCAGTTATCAGGCATAATGTTACGCTTTATATCGGGAAAAGGTTCATTGATAGGCTAAATCAGAAATTGATAAATAACTTTAAGAGAAACCCATATATTATAATTCTTAGAAGCAAATGGCTGGGAGGATAAGATATACATACTCGTATAACCTTTACCTACAATGACGGTTCAAACTACGCTTTATGAAGGAAAAGAACAATTATTCCAATCCCAAATTTTTTTAATATAGATTCATAAGAATATTTGAACTCTAGGAGGACAAAATATAATCATAAGATAAGTTAAATATAAGACCCGATCCTAACTACCCCATATAATGAAACATTTCTTTTAAACAAAAATATTTTTGATATTCCATGAACCTTATTAAGTTATAAGCTAACGATAGCTAGTAAATATAGTTTGTGAAGAAAGGGATTTAAGTAATTCAAAACTCATGTTATATGGTATTTGGGTAGTGGGCATAGGGCATTCGCAGGTCGACCCAGCGCCAAGTGCCACCCATTTCACCCGAGGGCTCGTAGGTCAAGATGCCAGCATTGGCTGTTGTATATAAATTTTGACAAAAGAAAGACTTCGGTTTAAACCATTTTTGGCAAGGCGGCGGCCATAAGGTGATGACCACTCGATGCGAAGACATGGCATGGATTAGCCGTAGCTCCCGGTCGTATTCCCATCTCTATCTGATTCTTCTGCTGCCCATCTTGGCGGTTCCCCTGGCGGCGGGTTTCGGCAACGAGTACGTCCACATCAAGGTGCATGTGCCCAAGGAGGAGTCATCAGCGGAGGCGGTGCCCCCGCCGCACAAGGTTATCCACCACTTCCACCACCATCCGCATCCCCACCAGCTGCTCCGGAGCCGCGGTCGAGCCCGTCCCAAGCCCAGTCCGCTGCTGGAGAGCGTGATCCTCTCGGATCTGGACAAGCCGCTGCACATGAGCGAGCATGCGGACTATCTGAACCACGCCAAGGAGCTGGCCGACCATCTGGCGGAGACCTACGCCAAGAAGCCACCACCGCCGCCACCCAAGAAGAAGGTCAACACCTACACCATCATCGAGGAACAGCACCGGCCACATGGCTACGACTACGAGGATCACCAGGAGCACGGCGTGGAGACGTATCGGGTGATTGAGTCGCGGCCCAAGCAGCAGCACCACCATCACCACCACCCCCATTATCAGCATCCGGAGGCGGAGGAGGAGGAGGAGGACGGGGATGTGGGCTATCACTATCCGGGTGGGGCGAAAGCGCATCACTCTCTAGGCATTGGCGCCTATGCCGAGCCCGCTCCCGTGGAGGAGCACCTGGACCAGGAGCCGGATGCGGGCTACAGTTACTCCCCGCCCAATCACTCCTATAGCCCGCCCAGCCTCGCCCATCGCGGCTCCAAGGCCAACCGCGCACCAGCCTACACCCTGGAGGCGCCGCAAGAATCCGCCTACGGATACGATTACTCCGGACCCTCGGCCGGAAGTACCAGCGACTTCCGGCCGTCCGTTCAGGTGCCATCCAGCGATCCGTACGGCGAGGAGGAGCCGGCGGACACCTATGGACCACCGAGACGTCGGCGGCCATCCAGCCACGTGGATTGGCCCGAGGCCAAGGGATTCAACAGTGCCGCCGCGGAGACGTATAGCGGCGTCGATAGCTACAATGTGGGGCACGTCCAGGGCTACGGTTCCAGTGGCTACCAGTACAGTGGGCCCTACCTGTAGGTGGACCAAGGCAACACCTCGCCTAATCTAAGATCTGAGATCATATTTATTTCTTTTTTTTTCCTAGTTCCGTAAGTTGATTATTTCAGTTTTAAGACCCAAATTATAAGTAAATAAATGTGTATAGGCACTCGAATAAATGGTACTTAACTTATATTATCGAAGGTGGTGTTTTTTCCACCCTCTTAAAGTTAAAATGTTCTAAAAATTAATGTTTATTCCATCTGAAAACCTTGGAGATATGTATTTTATAATAATACAGCTATATCGCAGTATAACCACTCGCAAATTATCAACTGATAAATATGCAAATCGTATTTGTTTTCTCAAAAGTTGGTGTATAAAAAAGAGACTGTCCAATTAGTACACATAATTTGATCTTGAATTCATTAATAATCAAATTCAACCACATAAAATTGTAATTATCCAATAGAAAAATGCACGTATTAATTTAAGTACTATTTCCAACTTTGAATACTAGTTCACTTAGCAATATGCGTTTTTAAGGCTGAAACCGCTAATAAAACGTGAATTAGACTTAATCAAAAACTTACTTCCTAGATTATACTAAGTAAAATAAACTAAAATAATTTTAATTTATAAGAAATAAAATGTTCTTAGATGACCAAAATTTTATTGAAATGAGACCCATACTTAATAAAAAAAATTCGATTCTTATTCATTTGTATTTGGTCAAAGTATTGTTATAATGCTTATGAAAATAACCTGTAATTGTGTTTATTATTATTATATTATTATATTATTATCCTCCTATTTTTCCCAGTGCTTTCGAAGAAGTCACTTAGACTAATCGAATTTAGATAGTTGCTTGAAAGCCCCATTTAAGGGAAGATCGGATAAGCCCGTTTCGCGTGGAAGGCCTGGGTGCCGAGCAGTCCACGATGAGCGGCCGTTTGGGTCGGGTCCTGGAGTTCCACCTGCGGCTCTACCAGGTGCTCGGCTTCCATGGACTGCCCCTGCCGGGTGACGGGAGTCCGGCGCGCACCAGGCGGCAGCTGATGGCCTGGAGTCTGTTCCTGCTGATCTCGCTGAGCGGCCTGATCATCACCTGCCTGACCAGCGGCGAGGAGTTCCTCTATCGCGGCGACATGTTCGGTTGCGTCAACGATGCTTTAAAGTACGTATTCGCCGAGTTGGCCGTGGCGGCCATTTATCTGGAGACCCTGAGCAGCCAGCGGCACCTGGCCAACTTCTGGTGGCTTCACGCCAAACTGGGGGGCCGGAGAGTGGGTGCGGCCAGCCTGCGGAGCGAGTTCCAGCAGTACCGCCGCTATCTGGTCTCCCTCTACGGGATGATGTGCTCCGAGCTGCTGCTCCACTTGGGATTGTGGCAGGTGCAGCCGCTGACCAATCACATGTTCCTGTTCTGGAGCAGCTACGAGCCGCTCGTCTGCCTCACATACATGCGAAACATTCAGTTTGTGCTGCACCTGGAGCTGCTCCGGGAGCAGCTGACTGCCCTGGAGCGGGAACTGGGTCTGCTGGCGGAGTATTCGCGGTTCGCCAGCGAGACGGGCAGGAGTTTCCCCGGCTTCGAGAGTTTCCTGCGCCGAAGACTGCTGCACAAGCAACGCCTCTACAGCGATGTGTACGACATGCTCAAGTGTTTCCTTGGCGCCTTCAACTTCTCCATCCTGGCCGTCCTGCTCACCATCAACATCCGCATTGCCGTGGACTGCTACTTCATGTACTACAGCATGTACAACAATGTGGTCAACATAGGTGAGCTGGGAATTCTATAATGTATAGGTATTACCATACAGTAACCATTATTATTACAGATTACTACTTGATCCTGCCCGCCTTGCTGGAGATTCCCGCCTTCATATACGCCTCGCAGAGCTGCATGGTCGTTGTGCCGAGGATTGCCCACCAGCTGCACAATATAGTCACTGATTCCGGCTGCTGCAGCTGTCCCGATCTTTCTCTGCAGGTGGGTTCTAATGGTAGGGTCCCATTAATTCAGCTAATCTTCACTTGCCCCCTTGGCAGATCCAAAACTTTTCGCTGCAGCTTCTGCATCAGCCGGTGAGAATAGATTGCCTGGGGCTAACCACACTGGATTGCAGTCTTCTCACGCGGGTGGGTTCACGGCAATGTCCTCGAAGGGTCCACGACCTTAACCTCATCCATTGTTCTTGCAGATAGCCTGTTCGGTTGGAACCTACATGATCTACACCATTCAGTTTATACCCAAGTTCAGCAATCAGTATATGTAAAACACCGAAGGATATATATAATAAAGTACTAAGCTAACCACAAAATAGAAACACGTTTGAGTGGGTCCTTGCAACCTGTAGAGATTTACCATCTAGCATGCTCTACAAGTTTCAGCCGCAGCCCAAAATAGATGGAATATAGGGTTTACATATTAAAGCTTTGTTATATTCATAAAATTATACGTAGTTACATAAGTGTATTTATTTATATGTATATCTTAAACCAAGGAAAGGGGGCCTGGGTGTCACAAGCGTTCAGTATTCCGTTAAGCGGCTTCATTAATTATTTATTTATTTATTTACAAGGGTTCCTTGGCTGGCGGCTGGACGGGCGCTGGAAAAGGAGGTGGAGGAGGGGTGGCTGGTGTCCACCAAACGTTGTGCCGACGTTGCCCTATGCAGGTTTACATACTGAGATTATACCCTCCATTGCCATCGCATTACTTAGTTTTTGATTCCTTACGAAGTAAGATACACCGAACATAAAACATATATATTAAAGTAAAGGTAAAGTACTAGCTTGTGGCTCAGAATATGTGTCACATATCAGACCCCGGAGACTACAGACTACGGACTAATGCAGGGAATATGGGTGATGCAGCTCGATCTCTACTTGCGATGCTGATCCTAATCGTACTCATGGCTTGATTCCCGCTTGGCAATCAGATTCTCGCGCTCATCGTCGTTGCCCTCGATGATGGTGATGCCGCCCGAGCCGCTGCCGTGGTTCCGGTTCAGCGCCTTCACGCGGTGCACCGTCTCCGTAAGGCCGGATTCGGTGAGCACCTCCACCTCGTCGTCGTCCTCGTCCTCGTCCGGCACGGTGAAGTATGGATGCGACGAGACCGGACGGAACTTGTATCCCGTGAGCACGAAGAACACATAGGTGGCCATCTCGCGGAACATCTCGTCCAGCCAGGCGTACTGGAACACCACGGTCATCTGCAGCAGGTCGACGATGATCCGCGTAAAGTAGATGTAGCACACGATCATGATGTAGAATTGGCGGAAGAGCTTCAGTTTGCGCAGATTGATTGCCGCCTTGCCATCGGTTGCAGAGGCTTCGTGCAGATGTCGGATGGACCAGACGATCGGGAACAGGATGGCGCCGCAGCAGAGCA